AGTTGTGAAACGTGAAACCCCACATCCATTAGGCGGCCATTCCCAGCACTACCTCAAACACACCCAGCCCCTGGCAACCCCTCATCTATTTTCTATGGATTTGCCTATTCTGGACACTTTTATTATGGACTCGTAAAATGTGGCCTTTTCTGCCCAGCTTTCATTTTGCTTGACATTTTCTGCCGGGTGTGGTGGCCCACACTTGAAGTCGCAGCTACTCAGGAGCCTGAGGCAGGAGAATCACTTAAACCCTGGAGGCAGAGGTTGCAGTGAGCCTAGATCTTGCCACTGCACTCCAGCCTGGGTGGCAGAGTGATAGAAAAACTTGATAGGGTGATGCTTCCAGTGAAATGGGTGCTTTTCTGGAAACATTTTTAAAATTTTAATTACCTAAAATGAAGCAGATACCCTTAAATGATTGATAACCATGAGAAAGGTGATTCAGAAATTACCTCTGCTGGGCTGGGTGCGTTGGCTCACGCCTGTAATCCCAGCACTTTGGGAGGCCCAGGCAGGTGGATCACCTGAGGTCAGGAGTTTGAGACCAGCCTGGTTAACATGAGGAAACCTCGTCTCTACTAAAACTACAAAAGGTGGCAGACATCTGTAGTCCCAGCTACTTGGGAGGCCAAGTCAGGAGAATCACTTGAACCGGGGAGGCGGAGGTTGCAGTGAGTCAAGATCACACCGTTGTACTCCAGCATGGGTGATAGAGCATGACTCTGTCTCAAAATAGTTTTTTAAAAATTGCCTCTGCTGGGTGGGCGTGGTAGCTCATGCCTGTAATTCCATCACTTTGGGAGGCCAAGGTGAGTGGATCACTTGAGATCAGGAGTTCAAGACCAGCCTGGCCAATATGGTGAAACCCCGTCTCCATTAGAAATACAAAAATTTGTCGGTCGTGGTGGTGCATGCCTGTAGTGCCAGCTACTTAGGAGGCTGAGGCAGGAGAATCGCTTGAACCTGGGAAGCAAAGATTGCGGTTAGCTGAGATTGTGCCATTGCACTCCAGCCTGGGCATTGCAGTGAGACTGTCTCAAAAACAAAAAGAAAAAGACAAGGTTATTCCATTCCCACTACTCAAACTTGGAGATAGAATACTTAAAAAAAAGAAAAAGAAAAAGCTAGAGACCATTCTCACATACAGACATAAAGTCTATGCTAAAATTTAATAAATCCAGCAATGTATTAAAAATAATGCATTCTTGTGTATACAGGGATGTACTATAGGTTGAAAGAAAAAGTACCTAGGGGATGTGTTTGATACAGTTTGAAGTGATTCAAAACTCAGATAATGTAAAGGGAACTGTGAACTTAATGTGTACTAAACAAAGAAATTGCAGGGTCATTTTCAGTTGATGAGACACTGGAGCAAAATAACATCCTTGCCATAATGTGATAGGTGGGTTAAATATATCAGTTGGGTAAAAATGGGTTGTGAGGTTGATGAAATAACTGGGATGCAATTCAGAGTGTGAGAAGCAATCATTTGCATAATATCAGAATTCATCACCTCTATTCTCATTAAGTTCTAAAGAATGTCAGCTCCAAGGCCGGGCGCAGTGGCTCAAGCCTGTAATCCCAGCACTTTGGGAGGCCGAGATGGGTGGATCACAAGGTCAAGAGATCGAGACCATCCTGGTCAACATGGTGAAACCCCGTCTCTACTAAAAATACAAAAAATGAGCTGGGCATGGTGGCGCGTGCCTGT